CGGTGCCACGGCTTCTATGGTCTCCGCCGTGCTTCGACAACAAACGACTTCTGTCGGCTTTAGCCGACAACCCGCTCTCGTGGCTAGGACTGCGCTGGTGTTTATGGCCCGACTCGCGATGACCACCGTCTTCCGTCCTTTTATGACGGTTCCGGTGGTGGCCCCGGTCCGAAGAATGACTGCGGCTGTCGGAATGCTTCCGCGACTTCGTTTTGTCCGACCGTCGCAAAGGAAACAGGGGGTCGCTAGCGGCAACGCCGTCACCGTACTCGTGGCAAACGGCTTCTGACTGAGACAGTCTCCTTCTGTAGGTGTCCCTGTGCGATGAAGGCGAAGACACAGCGGCGTTCAATGACGACGCTTCGACAGTGGCAGCTGTTTCGGTTGAACGACTCCGAGAGGCAGTGAGGGCAGCGCTGGCGGTGGCGGTGGCGTCTCTGGTGACGCCGTTGTCATCGGCCAGCTCCGACGGCAAAGAATCAACGCCGGTCACTAGATGACTGTGGTTGGAACTCTTCAACAGACGCGACACGTCGTCAAAGCTTCCCAGGCACTTCTCCAGTTTCTCGTGTAAACTGTCTTGGGTAGACTGAACCTATAAATTACTTGCTTCAGTACGTATTTTACGGGAGGAGAAACAGACAGAGGTAGGTAGGTTCCGCATCGACAAAGTATTGAAAAAACTGCTCAAGAAAGTCACAACAGAATTTCAGCCACCGAGCTCTCATGTTCATCGAGTCATTTCACGGTTCAGAGCTAAACCACTTACCTCCTGAGGTTAAACTCAACTTTCACCCTCACGTTTATATACAGTCCATATGTTGTGTTACTTAACCCAACTATTAACTAGTCATCTTGTGCCTTAGCTCAAGTGGATGCTGGTGCTCATCATATGGCTCAAAGGCGGTTTTTCTATTAAACATTTATAACATCATGCGATACACTAGCTTCATTTCGCAAAAACAGGGTATCACGTTGAACGCTGCAAAGTTTTCCCGACAAATCATTATTCATGTGCAAAAAGACGCAACCGCCGACGATTGCCAAACAAGCAACTTGATAGCATTTGGTCGTCGTCAGCAAAGTTGTAATAAAGAAACTTATTCCTCAGACGTGGTTCAAGCAGAATACAACATAAAACGACGAGATCAAAACAATTCCACATTTTTGACGACCATTAAAAAATGACAAAAGCGGGACATCACAGACGAGGAGGAAGAAACGAAGCAAATGAAAAATGAGAAACAAGAGGAAAAGAGAATATGAAGGAAAAGAAGCGAAGCGGAAAAGAGAACGATGAGGAAGAAAAACAACAAGAGAAACAACAATCACCAACAAAACCGCTACCCTTCTGAAAGGAGGAGACACGGCACGAAACCAACAAGGCACGTCAAAGAATCGAAATTTATAGTTCGAAATTTGAACATATCCTCACTGGAAGAGAAAAGAAGGAAATAGCTGACGAGGCCACGAGACACCAACTCTACATAGTTGGCTTTTGTGAACGAAGCGAAAAGGTTCTGGAATTCTGAACCCGAGCGGATGAAACCTATTCTATATTCAGGTGTCGATATTACGACTCGCGCTGAGGCCGTTGTTGGTGTTCAGGTAGAACCCAACTTCGCGGATAGAATTATTGATTGGAAACCTGTCAGCGAAAGGGTAGTAATCCCCAGACTGAAGCTACAACTGACTAATGTGTTGACCTTGGTACAGGTCTATGCGCCCAATTTGGAGGGAGAATATGAATCCTTCCTTGAAGAAGTTGAGTGTGCTCTGTACGAAATGCCGAGTACAGAATCCGTCATTTTAATGGGTGATTTCAATGCCCATTTCTTAACAGACAAACTGAAAAGTGGAACGGCCCTAACGACGTCAACAGTAACGACATGAAGTTGTTGCGGTTTTGTGCAAACAACGGATTGTTTATTATGAACACCTTCTTCGAGCATCGAAAA